GAGAGAGAGAGAGAGAAGAAGTCACGCTTTCCCAATCCCACGCGTGAAAGGTACCTCATGCCTTCAAATTTCAAACCCCAAGGCTCCTTCATCACAGCACTTAAAAGCCCCCCACCACCAGGCTCATCTCCCAGCACTTGCCAAGAAAAAAAGAGCACAGAGCTCTCCTTGTTCTTTTCCTTCATTAGACAACTCGCATTAGGAGGCTTGTTGCAAACATGTCTGCAGTGAGTTTTGTCTGTCTGTCTGTTGTGTTGCTTTGGAGTTGATGTTTTGTAGCAGGTGCTGATAATGTGTAAATTTGAACTTATTGCAGATGCTTGAAGTAAGGGTTCCAAACCTTGACTGTGAGGGCTGTGCTTCCAAGTTAAAGAAAGCTCTCTTGAAGCTCAAAGGTATACTTCAAATGAGTTGTCTACTTAATTTTCTCCATTCGTTGATTTTTTTGCCTTGTTTATCTTTCATTAACTCTGGCTTTGACTATGTAAATTTTAAGCAACTGTATAACCAGATGCAAAGTTAGTATGCATGCAAGGACGAATTCATAATTCCTTTAAGGAGTCAAACTGAAATCATAGACTTTTGAAGGATCAAAGTGTAACTTTTATTGGACTAATATAATATTTCACAATTTATTAAGGAACTATAAAATAATTTCCTCGTTTTGAAGGGATCAAGGCCACTGTCTCTACCCTTAGTTTTGCCCCTGACTACATACACTATATAAATAATAGGGTAAATTATGTGTTTAGTACCTAAACAATCAGTTTTGGTACTTCTTAGTACTTCAACTTTCAATTTTTTTTTAAAACCATATCTAGAATTTAGTTTTTTTTCATTTTGAAACATTTATCGAAAAATTTATCGAATCATTATGAAGCGATAAATTATATGTTATAAAATAGTTATAAATATAGATGATTTTAGGAACGAGTTTATAATAGTTCGATAACAATGATACTGATCTATTTCCTGCAGAAATATGCTTAATAAAAATGGGCCAAATCTAGCAAGAAGACGACAATGGGCTAAAATATTTTGGAAAGCCCAACTATGCTCTGCTAGACTAACAACTTTGGCTCCATGTGCATTGTTTTTAGGGGTTGAAGAAGTGGAAATAGAGATGGAGATACAAAAAATCACAGTCCGAGGCTATGGCCTGGAAGAGGAGAAGGTGCTGAAATCCATCAAACGGGCGGGGAAAGCGGCGGAGGCGTGGCCGTTTCCGGGGTACTCCCACTACGCATCCTTTTACAAGTATCCAACCTACATAGTCAACCATTACTATGACTATTACAAGAACGAAGCTTCCGACGGTGTTCATACTTTCTTCCATACTCCGGCCGTTTACTCCGTCGCTGTTGCTTCCGATGAGGCCGTTGCTTCGCTTTTCAGTGACGATAATCCGCATGCTTGCTCCATCATGTGAACGTAATATATGTGCATCTTCTTTTAGTTTCGTATTTGGAAAGAATGTGCGTTTAAATTTTAAGTTGATTTAATAATTACTCCTCCTTAATATAATGGTTGTCCCTTGTTCCCATATGTAATGGGGTAAGGGGAGGTAAGATAGTAGGTTGTACCCAACATAGTGGCTGTGAGCAGCTTCCGTAAGAGACCTCCAAATTATAAAATGCCCTCCATGAGACTCGATCCCACGACCTCAATGTTAAGAACCTTAATATAGATATATTTAATATTTAAAACGTTTTCAACTTGGGAACGAGTGTTGGCACAAGTGCTTAAGATTCAAGAATTTGAGCTTTTAAGGTCAAGTTCGAATCCTACCACCGTCACTCTTGGTGGAAAATCTGTAAATTTCTATGTAAAACCCAATTAAGTCTTAGGTATTCCCTGGTCTTAGACTGAGAGAGCCACACCTGACATAAACTTTATATCATAAAAAATGTTTTCAACTTGAAAAAAAATTAGGGTAAAGTACACAAATGGCCCCTCGACTATGGATATTATGTTATTAAGTCTATTGACTATTAAAAGTTATAAAATGATACTCTAATTATAGGGAGTTGCTTTGTAGTGTCCCTTGAATATTAAAAGTTATAAAATTATCACCTGACTATTCATTATGTTTCAAACTAATCATTTTTTGTTAAAAAATTGACGGTATTATGAGTTGAACGTTAACATGTTGATTGTGATATGATAAAATATGATCCCATGATCTAAAATGACTACCACATCTCAATCATCATGTTATAACGTTCAGCTTAGACAACTACCAAATTTTTAACAAAAAAGAACGAGTTTGGATTATAATAAATAATCGGGTGACTATATTTTAAGTTTTAAAAGTTGAGGGACTTTAACAAAGTAATATTCTAAAGTTGAAGTATCATTTTGTAACTTTTAATAGTCGAAAGATTTAATAAAATAGTACCCTATAATCGGGGACCATTTGTGTACTTTACCCAAAAAAAATTAAAACGTAATGATAAACGGTACCAACTGCTTAATACACGACGACTAAAGGAAGAGAAGACATTAACGGTGGGTATTTGGTTTGCATGGATATGACCTGGCAGAGTAGAGATATTCAAAGAAATCATTCTAACTTTAAATAATTTGTGTACTTTTTTATGTCAGCAAAGGCTTCTGTTGCTCACTTTTGAACGGGAGAATCTTAGAAAATTAATATAATAAAATAAAATGATAAGTTATACAGTACGACACATTTAATAAACAGTTAAAAAAATATTATTAGTTTTATTATTATTTAAATAATAAAATCGGTAAAATTTTATTTAAAATATTATTATTTTTTATTTAAAATATCAATTTTTTAATATTTTCGGTAAAATGTCCAACAATAACAAAACAGGTAGAAAAATAACAAAATCGGTAGAAATAATAATATTTTTAGTAATCTTTTATTGGTTTTGTTATTTAAATAATAATAAATTCGATAATGCCTCTTTTAACCATATATTAAGACTGTCGCACGTGATCATTTCTTAAATAAAATAGAAACCACCCTTTTACAACTTGTTCTTAACCATTTACCTTGCCTTCATAGTCAATTCACCAGAAAATTTGAAAATGACTTAAGAGGAACCTGAGAAATTAGAAACTACCATTCAATTTATGACTTCTACTGTACTTTATTTTGTAATTTTAATATTAAGATATAAAATCAATGGCTTAATGGTGTATATTTATTCTAACAAATTCAAAATAATAATTTTACTTTTGATTTTTAATTATGTTAATTTTATCCTATAAGTTATTTAATTTTGTCAACCTATTTGACCAACATTAATTGTTACAGTATTGATATAATATTTAATAATGAGTAAATTATAAATTTGGTAACTGAACTTTCATATGATTTCTATTTTACTCACTGTACTTTTAAAATTTTCAATACACTCACTCAACTTTATTGATTGAACTTTTTTTTGTCACTCTGTTGTTAAACCTCTTATGCCGTTATGACGTGGCTTAGAGAAATATATTTTTTAATTGTTAAAAGCCACAGATGCGACGACAAATCAGAAAAAAGGTAAATTACAAATTTGATAACTAAACTTTCATATAATTCCTATTTTACTCACTCAACTTTATAAATTGAGTTTTTTTATCACTCTGTTGTTAAAGTTCTCATCGCCAACAATCATCAACCGTTGCCCTCATCTTCGTTGGACGATGATCGTCACCTCCGGTACCAGTGTGAACGTCATGCCACCGCGACCAAAACCCTAGTGGCCGATCGTCAAAGCTCCCCATCATTCGTCGTATAGAAACCGTCAAAGGTTCATTGGGAAACCAAAGCTTTCCATCGATTTTCGTCGATTTTCAGCCACCCCGATTATCTGTTCGTCTCACCTCCGCCAGTGCGGAAGTCATCTCCTCTTTCCGACCAAAACCCATTCGATTTTCCCTCTCATCGTCAGTGCCTAAGTCTGACGCTATTTTCTGGCCACCTCGCGTTCTTTCGTCTCACCCTGGGCAAAAACTCAATCTATAAAGTTGAGTGAACAAAATTGAAAATTTTGAAAATACTGTGAGTAAAATAGGAATCATATGAAAGTTCAGTTATCAAATTTGTAATTTACCCTTATTATTATTATTTTGTGGAAATCTGACGTGGCATGTTTAATATTAAAATATTCCACATCAACGAGCTGTTAGTGATATAACGGTGGAGTGACCAAAAAAGTTCAATCCATAAAGCTGAGAGAGTGAATTGAAAATTTTGAAAGCTTGGTGAGTAAAATAGGAATCTTATGAAAGTTCAGTTACCAAATTTGTATTTTACCCTTAATAATTTTCACGTAATAATTCAGTATAATGATGTGATATTTACATGCAAATTATTACATAGTAGAAGATTTCAATTGATTTTTTAACGGACTTTAAGAGTAAAATTATTTTTTGACCGATTTTAATTGAAAGTTTAATGATTTATTTAATATAATTTTTAGTTTTTGAATTTAATCTAGTCATTCATACTCTTAAAATCGATTATGAAATTAATCTAGTCATTCATACTCTTAAAATCGATCAAACAATTATTTATGTCCTCAAAGACCAAAGTTGGTTAAAAAATCGATTCAATGCATCAGTCATGCCATCATTTACATGTGGACCGCTATGTCAGCAGAGTGAACCGTCACATAATGAACTATCACACCAATACTAGAACAATCAATGTTGGTTAAAAAATAAATTAATAAAATCAAATATTATCAAATGTAGAATTAATATAATTAAAAATAAAAAATAAAATTAATGATTTGAATTTATTTCGAGGAAAAAATATACTATTAAGTTAAAATAATTTTAAATAATAAAAAATTAAGTAATATATCATATAAGAATTATAATTTCAAATTAATTTGTGTAGATTCATTTTAAAATATGAACTCTTTTAATATTATTTTTTTCCATTTACCATACTCGAGTGAAGACCTCTTTCAAAAGTACATACGATCACAAGTCTCGCCATACCCAAAAGGTTCCCATGTAAATCAGTGTGCGGACCTCCTCAAATTTCACACATTATAAAAGGCCAAACTGGTCCTCGAAAGTTCATCTACTTTCCTAACCAACTCAATTTCACAGCAAAATGGCTCAGGTGATTTTTCTTTTCCCTTCGTTCTTAATGATTCTACTAACAAGCTATTTGATTTTGTTCTTCTTCTTCTGTTCTTCATCTTCTTCCCCACTATGTCTCGTGTAGTAATCTCGTTTCACTGTTTTAGCAGAAGGCGGTGTTGAAAGTTCTAACCATGACCGACGACAAAACCAAGCAAAAATCCATAGAAGCTGCTGCAGATATCTTTGGTATTTTGTCAAACACCTAGCATACAATATCATTTTTTTTAAAACATCAGATCTCGGTTGTGTGCGATTATTCTTTTATGGGATACTGTTACAAATCAGGGGAATTACTGAGATTCCTTTTGTTTTATGCGGAAATTGTGGGTGGACAGGGGTTGATTCGATAGCGGCGGATCTAAAGGATCAGAAACTGACAGTGATAGGGGCGATGGACGCAGTGGCGTTGGTGAAGAAACTGAAGAAAGTAGGCAAAGTGGATATAATATCGATCGGACCTGCTAAAGAAGAGAAGAAGGAAGAGAAGAAGGAAGAAAAGAAAGAGGAGAAGAAGGAGGAGAAGAGGAAAGAGGAGAAGAAGGAAGAGAAGAAAGAGGAAAAGAAAGAAGAGAAGAAGGAAGAAAAGAAATGATTTCTGTGTTGATCTGAATGTATTACTTTGCCTTGTGCTTTTAAGCTTCTCCGACTACCTGAACGAGCCAATGCTCACTTGCTCAACCAGCAATGTGAAAAGGGTTTTGGTTTCTTGTTTAATTAGTAGTGTCTTAGCAGACTATAATTAGATGGTTGATTGTTACCTCGACCTGTCTCGATGTTTAATTAGGTTTCTTACGCTAGTATCAAATTTTAGGATAAACTATGTATTTAATACCTAAACTATTAATTTAATCCGTTTTAGTACCTAAAATTTTAAGTTTTTCAAAATTATATCTAACTATTAATTTTCATTTTATTTTAGTATCTCATCTTTAAAAACTCAATGCATTTAATATCTAAATTATCAGATTTAGTACATAAACTTTCTATATTTTAAAATCTTAACATTAAATTTAGAACATGTACTAAAATGAAATAAATTAAAGTTTGTAATGGCTGGATACTTGAATAAAATAAAAACTAAACTTTAAGTATATATTTTTTTAAAAAAAGTGAAAATTTAGGTACTAAAATGAACCAAAACTAATAATTTAAATTAAACACATAATTTGACCTAAAATTTATCATATTAGAATATTTTGATCATCTCTATTTATTAGATTCTTCCCGTACCGCCTTCATTATTCATAAAAGCAAAGGACGCGTATAGATGGCATGGTTTGTACTTTGTACTGCCAATAGTCTCGCTTGTAACTGTTCTGTCTGGGGTCACGTCTATCCAGCGAAATATCAAGACGGAACGGGATCGACAAAAGAAAATAACCCAGCCCCAACTTCACTGTTAAAAGAAAGAATCATCTTTCTTCGAACTTCGAAGCTTACAAAGTACACGGAAGCCGACATGAAGGAGGTGTCTTTGATCTTCTTCTTTAAGTCGACGCTTGGGAGTACAGGTGGACAAGAGGAATTAGCTTTGAGGATTGCCAGAAATTGTAAGTGCTTATATATAATATCAAGAAATATGAAAAAAAATATTAACTATAGAGGAAGCCTCAAGGTCCCCGTTTCTTTAAACCTAGCTACATGTTTCTCCTTGTTGCAATACCCAAAACTAAAAGAATGAAACCTTATTCATGTGACGCGTTCTACACCTCTAATGAAGTTGCAAAATTGAACCCAATATTTTCCACTAGGAACTATAGGGCATGTTTCACATAAGCCTACAGATGCCATTCTTTCTTCTGTCAGGCTATTTAAGATTTTCATCATTGTATGTTGACTTAAATCTGATGAGTAATGTGGAAAACGGCAATATATTCACCAGGAGAGCATCCCTGTAAATTCGGGAGAGGCCGAAAAGGTTACAAACGGAATGAAGTATCAGACAGGCCACCTTTGAGGTGTGTGAATCTTTGTGAATCCGAGATGGAATCAAAGGCAAAAGTTCTTCAGTAATGCATAGAATATGCGAAATCTGCATGACAAGGAAATAGAAGAGCAAACTTATCAGTTTATTGCCCTCTTTCAATGAACAACTTTATCATTAACATTTAACACCTTTGTAGGCGTCTATATTTGAATAAGATACAACAATTAACAAGGCAGTGGAAAATAAAAGCCAAACAGACACATTTAGGTATATCTTCTGAACATGCCAACATAAGGAAGAGGAATCCGTATTTTAGAACGGACTGAAACTGTATAAATTTACTGCATTTATGTTCATTGAACGAAATCAAACCTTACAATTCATGAATTGTAAGCTGCATTCCTTGGTAGAAGGTCTCCAGATTAGGAAACTGATCCTCTTAATTATTCAGAGGCATCATCATCATGATCACCGCAACTCTACAGAAAACTCAACCTCCACTGTGATACTGCCCATTATCATCATTTGACCACTGCCAAGCTCACCTTTCAACTCTATTTTCCCGTTCATGCTTTTCAGAACTAACAAGCAGCAAGTATCAGATAATCCTCCAAGTCAATACCTACGCTACCACATGTGCACGATCCTTAAGGAAAAGGACTCTGATCACCGTTATCTTTTAGTTTTGCTTAATCCCTGGATTAGGTTATTAGTTACAATTCAGAAAAATATAACTAAAGAACCATAAAAAAGGAGAAAAAAATAACTGTTAGATTTCATCATGAGGCCAACTGAGCAGAGTGGGAAAGTTGATTAAGAAGTGCATACTTTATCCTTTCTAGTCCCTTGACATCTATTACATGTAGCAGGTCCGTGGCACTGACTGTCGATAGCTGAACCAATGGGTATACTGGCAATTGAGTTACAATAAACAATGTTTATATTGTACAATCTACTGCTTAGCATTTTCTATATCTCTTGATCTTTGAGACTAGATGAACATACTGCCCCTTCTCCACCATGCTTCTTATTACCTCCGAGCTTCAGAAAGCCTTCCAGCACTCCGCAAATAATTCACTAGAGTACTATACACAACAAAATTTGGTTTACATCCTCTCACCTCCATTTCCTTAAGTATGGAACGTGCCTCCTCGAACTTTCCAGCCATACAATAACCACGAATCATCGAATTGTATGTGAATACATTCGGAAGTTGTCCTTTGGCAATCATCTCACAAAACTTTTCTCGAGCTTTCTCCAGCTCCCCAGCCACAACGTATCCTGTAATGATTACAGTGTAACAGACGACATCAGGCACGCATCTATTCTTTATCATTTCATCAAAAAAGTACTTGCAAGCATCCAGATTTCCAGCACGACTCAGGCCATCTATCAATGTTGTGAAATGAAAAACACCTGGGTTTAATCCCACCTCTTTCATATGATCTAATAGATTAAGTGCAGCAAGTGGTTTATCCCCTCTGCCAAGAACATGCAGAAGGATGTTATATGTATGAAAATCAGGGGAAAATCCGCATCTACCCATTTCATCAAGTAATCTGTGGAATTGATCTAACTTCCCCAATTTGTATTTTGCACGCATAAGAATATTGTAAGTAAGAATATCTGGGGAAAAACCATCAGCTAACATCTGCTGGTATACCCACTCAATTAGCTTGTATTCGTTATGCAGAATGGCATCGTATGAATGTTTAAACGGCCTATAATTGAATGTTTTTGACTTAATGAACCTTTCCGCAACTTTCCTACCTAAGCCTATCTCTCTGCACGTACAAATCAAAATGTTAAATGTCCTTGCTGTTGTAGGGAAGCCATTTCTGTCATCTCATCCACTAGTCTCACATTGCCTTGTATTCCTCGCACTCTGCGCATATCTTCATTATCAAATGATATGAATTTGTGGTGTGCCTATAAGCTTCTTGCTGACCAGACCACACAAAAAACTTGTACCCTAGTTTCGCATACCTGTTTTTATTCACATGATTAATGTTCTTCAAAATTCCCTTGAGAACTTCTCTCACAAGAAACCCGGAGACCCTCACTTGCATTTCACTAATAGCAGCTTTTGCATCAAATCCCGGCCGGCCCCTCTTGTTCTAAAACCTCAAGAATTCTCCTAACATCATCCCTTCCCCTCTCGAAAAACCCTTTTCTAGCTGTAAAACTGGCTTCCAAGCTACTTCCGGACCCCCCACAATTATCATGAGTTTCATCAAAAACAGATTCAAAACTGGGACCCTTCCACATTCTCCTCAAGGGTTCATCCGAACAATAAAAATCACTATCAATTTTATCGCTATCAAAACTACTGCCACTACACAATTTTCTAGATAAAATGATGATAAAACATGATTTATAAACATTCCTCGCACCGAATAGATCTAGAGAGTTCATTTTGAGAACCGAATAAGCGTTGGATCATTCCCATTACGTTTGAGTCTTTAGAAAACCCCACGAATCCAAGAAACGCAAGAGCAGATTGGAATACCCAAACACGAAAAGCTCGAGAAATGTTGTGATCTCGAGTTGATAAATACCCATTAAGCTGAAAATAGCCAATTGCGCGATAGCGGTTTATTGGGGCAGCAAATTGTCATCGAATAGCTACAATTTCTCTGTGAACAGTTGAATGGGGGACTTACCTGGGATTAAAGACGTCGATGGAGGGATTACAAGCTTTTAAGGAGGACAGAGATTTTGTCTCCCAGAGTTTTGCAGATTTCGCTGGCGAGAAAAGAGAAGAGGCCAAGTGAGAAACTAGAAGAGGAAGATACGATGTGCGAGGGAGTAGTGATCCAGGAGAGCAAAATCGACCAGGGTTTTCTGTGAAACGGCGAGTTTTCGTGGTTTAGCAGGGGAAACAAAACAAACATTTTCATGGGGTCATCTGATCCGACATGGGGTTTTGAAATTTGGGCTTGGTCCGGTTCCTAAATTAATTTTCTTTTATTTTATTAATTTAAACTTAAATATAGTATAGAATAAAATATATCATATGCCATTATATTTTAGATGACATATCCAAATATTTTTATCTTTATAACATATTTATTTATATTTTATGACATTTTTTATTTTTTTAATAAGTTTTTGATTATTTTTTAAGGTTAAATTTAACAAACAATCAAAAAATGATGTTTATATATTATCATATTAATTTTCATTGCTTTGAATTTTTAGATTGAATTTGAATATGCGATTTTCATTTGAAGATAATTTTTCACACGCTCGATTCTGATTTATGATTTATCGACTATTTTTTAAAGTTTGATCTTCTTTTATAACTCGTTTGTCAAAATATAATCAGATTTGTTTGTATTTATCTTTCATTCAAATTTTTAATTAATTTTTAACATTTTTCTTGTTTGATCTTTATATGATCTTAAGTGACTAATTTTTGTAGTTAATAGTTATAAAAATATCATAGTTAAATGTTTAATTTTCGATTATGATGGTAATATTTTATTGTAATTCTAAATATCTTTTAATAAGATTAACAATTTCTATAATTTTTTTGAACTTATCCATATTAATGAACTATTAAATTTTAATAAATTTTAATGAATTTTAATAGCATGATGAAGTAAATAATGAAATAGATAAATCTTTATATTGTTGTAATAATATATAAACATAATTACTTATATTAAAAAATTATAATGATATAAATAAATAAAAGTTATATAATAAAATTTATATAAAATTCAATTTTAATTTTTTTTATTGTTGTTGCAAATATATCAGTTTTAATCTTACCTTACAAAAAGAAAAAGAAAAATTTTAAGAAAAAGAAAGGGATATTTCCAATGAAAGATCT